CATGATCCCGTTCCGGCGGTCGAACCAGCGCCAGCACTTGAGGATCCGCAGGCAGCAAGAGGTTGCTCCCTCAATTCAGCGATCTGCATGTTGATCTCATTGACCCTCAGCACAAGCTTCATAAACTGCTCTTGCATGTCCCTCGGATTGGGGCCTAAGCTTTTGTCATGAAGGTCCTTGACACATCTAGCAATGCGGGACAATTGAAGCTTGAATTCTTCCTGTTTCTGTGAGTTCTCATTGAGGGCTCCGGATACCTTATCACTGAACTGCTTCAGGTCGGTCGCAGGAACGAGATGCTGGATATACGTCTCGACGTTCCCACGGATGGTTCTTTCTCTTGAGATGGTTCCCTCAATGTCGATGACACTGCGAGAGTTCGCCTCAACTTCGTCTTTGATTTTCCGAACCTCAGCCTCAAGGGCCCCGATCTCAGAAAACCTAAGAAGCTGGACCTTGGCGTTCTCAAGTGATTCGGCCTGCTCGCGAAGTTCAGCAGCGGATATGACGATCGAGTTAGATCTCTCATCATACATCTTGAAACGCTCATTCATCTCCTTCTCGCTTCGGGCAACCCACTCGTGGAAATCACGGAACTTAGCCTCGTGTTTTGAGAGAGTTCCGGCAACAGCAGAGAAGGATGATTCAACTTTCTTCTCGAAGGCGTCAACACGGTTATTGATCTTCTTGATCTCACCGACGCAAGCGTTGATATCATCCCTACATGAACGAATCTCAGCTCTGCATCCCTGGATTTCGGCCTTGCACCCCTTGACCTCGTTATGGATCGCGAGAAGCAGTCGTTGAAGCTCAGATGCAACAGGATGGCCGCCACTTGTGGAAGCAGACGGAGCAGGACGACTATCAGCGTCATGATCTCCGCGGCTATTCTCTTCCCTGTCGGGAGTGCAGCCCGGAGTTCCGATTTGAAAGAATGCGGGGACAACGGAGTCGTTGACCGGTTGATTCGAAGGAAGCCCTCCATATCCAGGGGCAATAGTGCTAAGACCAGGTCTCCGATTCCTAGGCGTAGAGTTAATCCCGTCATCAGTCTCCTTCTCAGACATCGGGGCGTTGGAGCTGAGCCCAGACCCCGCAGAGTGTATAGGAACGTCAATAGGATCGTGATGAGCTGGGGGATTAGATCGCAGTCGTAGAGCAGCTTCACGTCTCTCGGGTGACTCAGAGCTCCTCTTTGTGGCTCGTGAGTCAGTGCCGGTTTGTCCCGACACATTATCAAATGATGATGATCCGCGAAGTTGAGCTTGATCTGAATTAGGTTGAGTGAGATCAAGCCGTTGAGCAACGTCACCATTGAGTGGCTTAGGGGAAAGTACTTTGGCAACGCGGCTCGGCGGGAGCGATGTAGTTCGTCTCTCTGGTGTGACCTCGGCCTCATCGATTACATCAAGGATTCCAGGAATGGTTTCATCATCTTCATTTCCTCTCCTGGGTGGCTGATGGAAGGGGATGTCGAGGAGGTCAAATGGAGTAGAGCCAATACCAGGTGTATCCTGCTCGGATCCATCACTGGTACGGTGGCTGGACTGCTCCTCGAGGTCGATGACGTCGGGGGCGGACTCTTTTCGAGTCTGACGCCGATTGAACGCCGCGAAGAGACCGGCATGGCTTCTTGACGAAGAGAAGGAAGGATTTGGGCCTGCTGTTTCGCGGCCCGCATCCGATCGACTAGTACCTGATGTCCGATTTGGCGGATTTGAGCCCGCGTTGTAGCGGTTCGCATCCCGACCTCGGGTACCTGAGGAAAGCGGTGGATTCGGACCAGCGTTGTAGCGGTCCGCATTCCGGTCGCGGGTACCTGACAGGTGAGATGATATTGCATCAGGGATGAAGTCCATATCCGCCGGACTGGGGTGATCGTGAATGATGTCAATGTCGGATGAACCTGAGACGGGAGGAGGGCCAGCTATTTGCGGCCAATCCTCAATCGCCCGTTTGCCCACCTCGGGTTGGGCCGAACCTGCAACATGAGAAGGGGAGAAATCTTCAACGGGGTCATTTTCTCCATCATGAGGAAAACCCTGAGTAGGCTCATGCGACGGCAGGGCATCAAAGGACCTGTCAATTCGGGAAGGCTGAGACCTCCAATCAGCATCAAAAAGGGATTGAAAATCCAGATTCCCAACCGAAACGGGGGCACCCGAGTTAAAGTCGAGCCGACCGAAATCAGGCGGTGTAGCCTGCGATCCACTGCCGAGGAGTTGGTCAAACTGATCCCATGTAAGGGACCATGATTGAGCCGGCTCCGGATGAGCAGCATGATGGATAGCCCGGTCCTCGATCTGGAGCGCCACGAACGGAACAGTAGGCGAAATCGATGAGGGCACCTGATTTGGAGGAACCTCAGCCTCTTCTAGAGGGGGTCCGTCCTCGATCTGGAGCACTGCCGCCGGGATAGGGGCCTCCGCATCCTCATCAAACACAACCTGAGAAAGGATCCAATCGTCCGTGATCACCCCGGGATTGGGCTCTGCGCCCACCATCGGGGGAATGGGCCACAGCCGGCTGTCTAAGCCGGGGGCAGCAGGCGCGGCGTTGCCGCGAAGGGCGTTGGCCTCGTCGTCCACGAAGCCCGGCCCACGATGAGAAGCTCCGGGGGACGCCATTGCTCGTACAAGTAGGCGATGGGAGCAGGTAGCGGGTCACGTCCCGCAACCGGATCACCAGCCCCAGCTTCTAGCTGGTACGGCTGATAACCTGCGGTTTTGGGCGAACACGAAGTAGCCCAGGGAAGCAAATGAGCACAAAGTAGATCACGATGTACCCAAAGCACCCGGAAACACAACTCGGGTGAAGCTGTGGATGATGACCGGGTTGAGGAAGTGACGGTTGACAAAGGAGAAGTATGGGGAGGTTAGAAATCAAGTTGAAGAGGATTAAGTTCAATACCAAGCCCAAGTAGAACAGCGCGACTCACCGAGCACCTCCTACACCCAGCCGCCCGCGGCCCCGACCCTTTTCGGCTCGAGGACGAAGAAAGCTGCCAGTGAATGGCGCACGAGCGTGAGTCCTATTCCCACTTGACGGGAGGTAAAAACTTGAGCCAAACGGCCGTTCGGCCGTTTTGACATATGAAGAAACAACACGTGAACAAAACACAATCTGGGGTCGGCAACGTGTGGACGCCAAGCTTCGCTCCGCACGCGGTGAATGGGGTACCTGCCGCACGGCTTTCATCCCCCCCAGGGCCATCTTTCCGTGGGCGCCACGTCTCGTCTCATCGTTTCTCGGTGGCGAAATCTGCGGAGCCCTGCTAGAAGTGACTCACTTTCAGTGGTTTGATACCAGTGGTATACAGTGGTTTGATGCGGGAAAACCCATCAGTTGGCGAAAAGTTCAAGTCCTAATTATCCCTTGGCAAAACGCACCAAAGGTTTGCTGTGATCCCCCCGCTCCCTTCCCACCCCCTCCCCTCCCGCCGGAGCCCATCTGCGCAAATTTGCAGACTTCGCTGACTTGCGGACGCCAGTTCGCTTCCAATAGTGATAGGGTCCCTTTAAAACCAACGGGGAAAACGATTCTTAATCAAATGGAAGCATGTGAAATGGCACAGCGCCCTCCACAAATCCAGATTAGCTTGAGAACTCCAAAGTAGCACCGCCCTTTGGGCCGTGCAAGCGCTGACAACATGGACGTCCAAAGCGGCACACGATGACATCATTTGCAACACTGCAAAGCCATCCCCCCCCCCCTTCGCGGCATGTCGACGGAAGGGCAACATGCCAACATGCCTCACGCAGCCCACCAGCAAATCACGGAATCCTCTAAGAAGCAACCACAAGCAGCTGGAAAGCTCATAGTCGCAACGGCGAAGCTCATAGTCGCCCAAAATCCCGACGGGTTTCGTGACCTACCCCCTCGCAAACTGTGGCGAATGGAAAAGGGCACTGGCCCACCTGAAGTTCAGGGACTCCCATCAGTCCTGTGTCAGCCCATTACTCACATATAAGTATAAGGTTCACCTCTAGGGACGTTTGCTAAAAGTGGACCAAAAAGGGGAACAGGAACCATAAAGGTCAAAAGGTTGGCTTTGAACAACTAGGCTTAAGATCTGAGGGTCCACTTTCCTGAGAAGCTACCGGCCAGCCCCCACTCCCCAATCACGGCAGGGCTGCGGCTCGTCGCTAGAAGCTGGAAACGCCTTGGCGAACGAACGTTGTTGCGCCGACAATGAAAAAAATGATGCACACATTCCTCTGTGCCAGGCAGAGGGGGCGGGTGGTTGGGGGGCGGGGACATCGTGGCCAGAGGCCATGTTGCAAAGGATTGCCGCTTGAGGTTGCAAACTCAGCTTCTGCGCGTTCGCCCACTGAGAAAGGGTGGTTGTGTTGTTCGCGCTTGGAGCTAATTACAAAAGGCGCAAGCAGGAGGCACTTGGCTGGTCACCTGCCCACCGGGCGTTCTTGCCATGTTCCCTCGCAGAGGGTGGCTTCGTTGATTATGTGGGTGACTAGCGTGGCAGCGCCGTTAACAGGCTGGATTGCCAACCTTATTATTTTTCCTGCATATGGCAGGCGGGCTGGGGAAAAAAGCCATCGAGTGGGTCGTTTGAGGGAGCCCCAATCACAACACACCAGAGCCCCCAGCCCTCTAGGGGCACCTGGGGAAAGAACCTGTCAAATAAAGATAAACAAGAGTGTGGTTTCTTACATGCCCGCGACGTGGAAGCCTACCACGCTTGCCAAATGTTCGGCGTTGTACCTACGTCGGATGAACTTCGGAGGGAATGTTGACTCCTGGTTTCACGACCCCTCCATTCATCAACGAGGTTCCATGAAACAAAGGAGTCCACAAGAAGGGGATCTTGCGAAGGTCCATCTTGGCAACATGCACGAAAGCATGGTGCTTGCTGCCCTCAAAGTCCACTGCAAATCTATGAAACCCACGCAATTTGAGCACACTTGAAAGCATGCCTGAACCAGCACACGCTACCTGGGGAAGCTTGAGCTGCCCCCGCCCCACCCGAAAAGCCGAGGAGCGGAATGCATGTGGCCCGACGCCTCTGGCGGGGCCGGCGCCGGTGCGGGGTAAGGCCTGTCGGCAAAGGAAAGGTTTCGCAAGCGGCGAGTGAAACTGTCTCATTTTACGGGTCCTTCTCAGCTTTAAAGCGTTAAAACTACATCCCAGGGAGCACCCCTTCTAGTAAACGTGGCGGTCCTTTGGTGTCCCTGTAAAACCACCCTCAAAATAAAGCATGGTTATGAGTAACATGAGACCAGGAATCGGGTGGTCCTTGTCCTGTGCGTTGCTCGCAATTGGCAAAGGAAGTCAAACAAGGGGTTTGCGTCTGCTGGCTGGAGATATGTAAGAGTGCTTGGCTGTGCAAGCGCAACACCCTTCAGTTCCACAGTAGTGACACGGCTGCCTTCTCTATGGAAAGAAATAGGGGGCCCACGGGTGAAACAAACGGAAAACAAAGCAACGTGGCAACCATCTCCCGCGACACTAACAGCTGGTGCCTACACCGTCATTGATTGGGGCATCCCTCTTTCCCGCTTTGCGCGAGGATTCTCCACGAGCAGCCACATAGGTAGAAGTGCTTCTTGTTTTCCTAAGGCTGCTTTTTTTCGCGCTGGCTTTTGTTGGGGCTGGCAACATCCCCAGCATCGCCTGGACCAGGGCGCTCCGGGTGGCAGTTGGGAGTTGCTTGGGGCTGGCTTAGTTTAGGGGGGTTTAGATCTTCATGAGCGCGGGTCTTGGGGTGGCTTGGGAAGCAAAGGGGTGACATCCAGGCTGCCTTGGGCGGGTTTAGAGATGACTGTGGGTGGGTTTGGGGTTGGCTTAGAGCTGTTGGGTGTGCGGCTGGTTTAGCGGTGCCTTTGCGGGTTGCTTTAGGGATGTGGTTGCCTGAGCTGTGAACTAGTTTTGGTGGCTTGGGGCAACGCTCGCCCAAAAGCAACCCTGAAGCCGCTGCTAAACCAGCAGGCAGCACATCTAACATAAATCGGCTCCAAGCCAGCCAACCCACAACCAGGCAGGGAACCAAACCTAAGAACACCAGCCCTAGAAAAACACAAAACCCCCTCCACGGTTTTTGTTGAGGAACAAATGGGCTCTTTTTCCCCACGGCACCCCCCAACACGTCAGCAGACAAGTGGAAGCCCGTGAAGCCTGTCCGGCCACACATCCGCATGTTCGGTGCTCGGTTGGAAGATGTCACATATTCTTGAACTGTCCCAAAACCCAACCAGTGTGGGCTCTCAACGCCGGGCGGGGGTTTAGGGCCCAGTGCCAACAATGGAAGCCTAGTGCCTGTCTCACGGGTTGCTTGTTCAATCAAATCTCTCGTGCGCTGACTTTCCATCCGGAAAGCCACGCCACTTGCCTGCTTATACATACCCGCCACTACATCCAAGCAAATGGCTCTCCTTTCTAGCTGGATGTAGCCACGTGAGGCACCCTGACTGATCCCACGGCCCCCCGCGCTTTGTAGGTGTCTTCTGCTCGTCCTCCTCTGCAACGGACTGGAGCGTCGATGATCGCCTGGCTATGAGAAGGTCAGTGAGACAACGCGGCCTTGGGCCAGTTCTCAAACAGGAAAGGGTAGGGATCCTGATCCAGGTCAGGAACTGCCTTGTGCGCAGAACCGTTTTTTTTTCTCAAATGACTTCGGCAGTGCGTCTCAAATGAACGCAGTACCATGAGTCACTTGATATGACCTCTGTCAGTAAATAGGTGCAAAATGACCTCCGAAAAGCAAACTGGAAACACGTGTCTTGCTTCAAACGTGATTTTGCCTTGGGCTGGCTGACCAGGATTGGGATTGCAATTCCACATGGCGCAACCCTTTTTTCAGCACGTTGCTTCTTGCCCCAGGAGGTTCCAAGAACAAACAAAACCCTACAGCTGGAAACCCTGCCTGCAAACCCTCCCTCCAAACAAAAAACACATTCTTCAGAGGAAAAAACAAGAACACAAACACAAAAAAACAAAGAGCAACAAACACCTTCTTAGGGTGGGTTTTGCCGACCCACCGCTTTTACCCAACCCCGAGAAGGAGAAAGAACAAAAAAAAAACAAGAAACAAACAAGAAACAAACCGGAAAACCCCAAAAAACAAACAACAAAAGAAAACATTTCATGGGCCTCGGGGACCTTCTCCGCGCCAACGCGCGGAGGAGGATGTCCTGGCTCTTCACCTCAGCGGCCGGGACGGAGCTTAGGCGGCTGCGTCGGCCGACTGAGATCAAGGGGGCGCGTCCTTCGCAAGGGGCGAAGGAGGCGTCCTTCTGCTTAAAAATCGATGGGGGGGGTTCCCTGGTGAATGGGGCATAAAACACCAAACCAGTGGAACCCATGGAATAAAACACCAATCTAAACCAGTGGAACACATCGATTTCAATGCAAACTCACCTAAAAAGGACACCTATGAATGGGCGGCTTGGTGTTGAGGGAGCTGAAGGCGCCAATCTTTGGACTTGAGAGAACTGCGGCCTGCGACCCCCCAAACCTGCGCTGGGCGAAAGACGGCCTTGGCAAAGAAAACAGTCTCAGACGCCAGTAACCCGATCTTCCACAGAGGGGCAAAGGGCGAAAAAGGGAACCTGCAATTCAGGTAGAGGGACCCCTATGCCAATGGATAGCGATATTTGCTAGACGATGGCTTGCATGAAGTGCTGGTGAACCCCTGCTCTGGGCATTCTCTCACCGAGCAACCCAGACGAAACCAAGCCTACATCCAGTTGAGCCGTGTCCCAAAATGGGGAGAACCCAAAGAAAGGCTTTTCAATGGAACCCAAAGCAGACTATCAGCTTCCTAGACATCTATACTTTTTCTGATCCAGGCATGCTTTCTTAAACTCAGGCGGTTGGACATGTGGAAAAATGTGGAAAACCTCGAAGGGGGTGGCGCGTTCAACACCATGCTCCCATGGCCCAGCTGCTATCAAGGAGAGCTCCTTGACGTTCCGCTTCAGCGGCGAGTGAACCGACCTAAACGCCGAGAGAGAGAGAGAGATACGGGCCGAGGTGAGCATGGCATGACTCATGCGGATGGTCAACATCCGTTCGCGCCATGAAATGCAGCCATGGTTGCGACCATAAGCGTTGTTGGTATTTACAGGGGGGTCGAATCATTCCAGGGTTTCTTAGGTGGTGCAAAATTGCTTTCGCCCATCCATATTATTGCAGCTTCTTGATGCAGCAACGTTGCGCTGAAGAAGTATTTTCAACCGCCTTGCTTGTTCTTAACATCTTAGGCAACTGCTAAGCCTACGTGTGGCATAACTTCGCCACTGCTTGCCCCACAAATATGCCTGTTGCTCTTGCTGACAGGATCAAGAAAACCATTGCTTGTGCCCTACCTACAACAGATAGACCTGTCGCCCACAGAACATGAGACCAATTGCATGCATTCGTACTGCTTGCTTGAGAACGTGCCGTTCATTTGGAGTCGCTACAGCTACAAAACCATAGCTTGTACTCCTTATATAAACACCCAAAACAACGAGAAACAAAAAACCTTGCACGAACAAAACAAAAAAAAGAAACAAAAAAAAAAAAAGAAGCCCAGGCCCTTCTGTGGGGGGCATCTTGCTTTTTTCAAAAGCGGAGGGGCCGGTGCTCCGCACGCAGCTCGGCGATCTGATGGGCGGCGCGGTGCAGAGCCTCGTAGACCTTGCCCCCGTCCGCCTGGCAAGGAACTAGGCTAGAAGAAGGAACCCCCAGCCAAATATATATATATATAATTATATATATGTTTGCCTGGTGTGGAAAAAATAGGAAACCCCAAAAAGCAAAAAAAAGATGCAAAAAGGGGAGCTAATTCTGGGGAAGGGAAAAGGAGATGAGCGAAGGCCTGGTTTAGGGATCTTGCGCTTGGGTGAGGCGAGCTTGTGCATGAAACCTCTCAATATCCGAAAGCCGTGCGCGACGCGCTGGAGGCACCAAGCGTGCAATCAAGAAGCCCCAGGAACAGTCCAAACCTTGGGTAGTGAGTGATCTTAGTGAAACCAAGATGTTAAGCTAAGGAAATACGGAAGTGAGGAGGCACCTTTTGAAACGCACTGGACAAGCAGGGCTTGAACATTTTCATTTACTTGTACCTTGTGATGGGTGCATGGCCTGATGGTTGATCACCATAGAAGAGGCGACAACAGATGGAGAAGCAGTTAGAGCTTCTGCGCCGCTTTTATGCAGCCTCTCTTTGCTAGGAAACATAGGCACTAAACAATCACATGACGGGCCTACGCCAGCGCGCGTGGCTGTAAAGACTGAAGTGGCTCTGCCATGATTCAAGTGGGTGGCTCCACCTTGAAAGGGCAATCTGGAAGGGATGATTCTGGTTTGATCCACCTCCTCTCTCTGATGCTAAGTAAAGATATCATGATGGCTCCGCGTTTGGATTCCTTACCAACAGGGGAAAGCGGCCAAGGGGGGGAGAAGTAAATCATGACAGACCTGGGCCACCCGGTTCTGCTTCTTGCTTTGTGCGGCTTGTGTTTTCATGGGTGGTGTCTGCTTTTGGCTTCTCTTTCACAATGTGTGGGTGGCCTATGTTCCCGGCAAAGCAGAGTACTCCTTGAGGAGTTTGCCTCTACCCCAATCTTCAGCAGGCCTTGCCATGGAATGAGAACGTAACATCACTTTTAAGCTGCCGCCGCCGAAGGCCCTTGTTTCTCTGCTGGGGAATATATGTGTGGCGCCACTTTCGGACAAGTCACGAGTGAGGCAACCAACCTGACATCATGGGTGGCCTGTTGCAAAAATAGATGGCCCTGGCTAATGGAACAAGACCCATCTAAACCAGTGCCATCTATGTTTAACGAAACTAACCCAAAAAGGACGCCTATGCCTGCAGTGGAGTCGCCAGGCACCCCACCAACCTAACATGTTCATAATCAGAGCCAAGGGGTTGCCTGGTGTCGCGTTGGGGTCACTGGTGACCAGTGAGCTCATCAAGCAAAATGTGGCTGTGGCTCAAAAAGCCAGTCATTACCAACATAAAACCCTGGTAGCTGGAAACATGGACCAAAACCCGCGGTTTGCCCCTCCTGTTTAATTTTGAGCCACACCCATGTGAATAAACGGGCCTTGGGGCTTCCCAGCTTGTTGCGATCTTATGTGGGACGGTTTCGGCGCATTCCACCGAGCTTTGGCGCCATAAGGCACGCATGGCATCCACTCGAACCTCAGGCGCGAGCGAGTGGCAAAGCCTTGGAGGCTGGATCTTTGTGTTTTGGCCGTGCCTGCTGCGCTCAACAAAGCGGACAAACGGCCTACTACTCCAAGAGGGAGGAGTGACAAAAGGAACCATGTGCTGAGATCGTTGCTGTTATTTCTCTCTCTTTTTTTTTTTGGGGGGGGGGGGGGTCAATTTTGAGTTGCCCCGCTCGAAAGAAGCCTGGCGTTGTTTAAAGGTCCCATTGGCATCTATGCTCTGGTCGCACTGGCACCGGAGGGGTGTGCACATGATCAAGACGCCCTCCACAAGCTTCAAACTCCATGCCAGAACAAGGAAAACGCGGCTTACTCCTAGTTGTCGTGATTGTCTTGGCGTCCTTTGCCTTGAACGCAAATTGGACACCAGTTTCTGTATGGTAGGTGTGTAAGATTGTGTTCTGCTATTTGTTGTGGAGTGGGCTGCGGTGGTCGCACCTGCCAAATGCAAAGCAACCAGCGAGGCCCACCACCGCCCCTGCCCCTCGGATCGAGGCCTCGCCTTGAGGGCGCCATGCCCTGACAACTCCGCGGAGGGATGGATACGAAGCCGCCTGCGGCTGGGCATGCGCAGGGAGCGCGGCCACGGTCTTCCACACGATGTGTAAACCAAAGCCCTGGAAGTGGCACATTTTTGGCCAGAGCCGTGGAAACCAAACATGCGCCGTGTGACCAACGGCTTGGAAAAAAGAAACAGCTTTTGACCATTAATCTGCTCGCATGGGTTCCATGCCTGCCGCACCTCGGATACCTCAGACTCTCTTGGGTGCCCCGGCAGCCGTGCCAAGGGGCGGCAGGGTACGTAGCACCTGCTCGCCAGCGCCTGGCGGTGGGAAGCTGAGCCTCAAGCCTTGAGGTCTGGCACCCCGGATGTGCCCAGAGCCCGGCGGAGAATCCCTGGAGCCTCCTGGTGACCCTTAAAAAATGGGGGCCACTACCCAAAATCTTGGAGTCATCGCCCCATTTTTGAAGGGTCATGGAGACTCCGGGTCCACATCCCATTCCCTACCGTCGACTTGAAATGAGCCGTGCCAAATACTCTTGTGCAAAGAGTGTGTGTGCAGATCGGGTCGGATTTGTCGAGCAGCCACTTAGACACTTAGCCACTTAGAAAAAAAGGCGCAGCCACTTAGCCACTTAGCCACTTAGACTGTTAAGTGGCTAAGTGGCTAAGTGGCTTCCGATGGCTAAGTGACAAAGTGGCTGAGCAGCTAAGTGGCTAAGTGGCTAAGTGGCTAAGTGGCTAAGTGGCTAACTGGCTAAGTGGCTAAGTGGCTGAGTGGCTTCCCGTTGGCTGAGTGGCTAAGTGGCTAAGTGGCTAAGAGGCTTCCCGCTGGCTGAGTGGCTGAGTGGCTGAGTGGCTAAGTGGCTGAGTGGCTGAGAAGCTAAGTGGCTAAGTGGCTAAGTGGCTGAGTGGCTTCCTGGTGGTTGAGTGGCTTCCTGGTAGTTGAGTGGCTTCTGAGCGGCTGGGTTGCTTCGCACTGGCTGAGTGGCTGGGTGGCTGCCAGGCAAAATTGACCCAGCTCGACCAGGTGCGATTGCGACAGTCGCACCTGGCCGCGCCCCATCAAAAAGCATCTCCAGAAAACACATCATTTTACTGTAGGGGCCCGAGTTACAGTTAGAACAGATTTTGCCAGTCTTTCAACCGTATACTAAATCACCGTTGTGTGTGTGTGTAATAGTTGGCATTGTCAGCATCAACTCCAGTTCTTGGTGCGCGATGCAATGTAATGAAACAACCATTTAATTTAGAAGCAAATTTAACAATGTTCATATTAATTTTGTTTCCTGCTGCGTTGAATGATTGTGTCATAGTGTGATACATTGGAAATATGAATTTCAAACTTTGACCTTCTAACAAATGTTTCACTATATTATTATTGACCGTGTTGTCCACTTATAGTACATGTATAATTAGGTTATTTTAATTCCCACCTGGTGCTGGTGTCTCCAGTTGTGAAACAAAAACCAGACGCATCATTTTGAGTGGTTGCATCAGTCACACAAAAAGGCGTAACTACTGGTGAATGTTCATCTGATACAATTGTAAATTCCAGTTCAAGTGGTGCATAACGAAGAGGCAAGTAATACTTGCTTTCTGACAGTCTGCATACTGGTTTATGTCCTAATCTCATATAACCACTAGCGCCGGGAATTCCTGCAACTGAATGGCGGGTAAATTGTGCTGTTAACTTGCTCCAACTGGTATGGTCTGGTATAGTTGGAAATGCAACTGCTGCGGGGTCAGCAGCGGGATTTGTTCGTTTATTAACATCTAACATTTCTGCTAAACCAGTGGCATAAGTATGTCGCCAGTCATCATCCCAGCGAGGATTAGCACTACTTTCTAAATCATCCATATCTCTAGCATCTTGACTCTTGAAGGAATTATATAACTCGCAGTGTCTATTGTATTCAATAATATCTTGCACTTGTTGCCCGCCTACAGTGCATCTATAACGACTAAAGAAGGATGATAAAATTACCTAACGGTCGTGAAAAATGACTTCGTGTTCCGTCAGTGTTTTGAATATTGGCAAATAACCTAAGATAAAAAACAATCAACATATGTGGTGTCTTCTCCTGAAATATGAAATCTAATATTGTTGTTTCCTGCATTTGGATCATAAACATTGCTACCCGATGGAAAACAATTAACGTGTCTTCTGTCCGTGATATATTGTGCTGTTTCAGCGAGTCCAACATTTAATGAGGTAGTCATTGTAGGTTCACTTTCTGCAATTATATTATCATTACTTGTATATGATGATATAGATTTTATTTTTCATTGCTTTATACGTTTCTTATGTGGAAGCATTGAAGTAGAATTATTGAAGTTGTATTTGCTATAGTATTCCTTAAATAGTTAGTTTTTGTACCAACTATATCTTTTCTAGTATGATGATCTAAATGTTTATATGGTTTATCGTGTTTTGTAGGTTCTTTTGTCAGCTTCTTCTCTAATGGGATTTTGTTTTGTTTGTCTTGATTTGTATACATTAATAGTCAAAACCATTAGAAATATCAGTAGTAGGATAAATTTCAGTCATACCTTGCCCTTTCCAATTTTGATAACCGTGGTTTTCTAGCACATCTAATGAACCAATGTCAGCAGTAATCGCGGCATCATCTAATATTGCTATAAATTCCTTTTTATCCTTAAATCGTAAGTATCGCGGATTTTTCTGTTGACTAATTCCTGATACAAAAGGTGATGATTACACAGTAGTAGCATATTTGTTTTCGTGTCTGTTGTTTATTTCTTGAACAACGGATGAGCCGAGGCTGTGACAATTGCGTCCTTATATCTTTCGCTTAATTGAACATTATTAGTAGGAATGAAAAACACATCTGCAATGACATCGTTGGCTTTGTGATTTAGTCCCGTTTTAGCACCAATGCCACCAATATATAAAGTGTGTCCTATTCGTGTTGTTCCATTCACACTTGAATACGCGGCGTCTACTCCCTTGACATCATCAATGTTGTTTTCATTTTGGACGTTGATTTCTTCAACATAGCTTGTTTTATACTTCATTATTTGCCTATCAAAATGTTTATTGAAACCTCCTATTTTGTCTTGAAACCTGCTATTTTGTCTTCCAATTTGTTTTTTTATGATGAAATACATCCTCTAATAAATCTTTACCTGCCGTGTACGCCGTATCACTTGCTACACCTGCCATTGTTTGTGTAGGCGTCCTGCCTTCTATAGCACGTAATAATATCTGTCGTCCTATCATATAACAATAACTATAATACGTTTTTTATGTTTTATATTATATTTATGAGTGGTAGAGTAACATATTCAAATATATATATATATATTGATAGTGCTTACAGATTACAATAAAGTAACTCTACCAGCGACTTTATTATAGAACCTGAACAAAATGAAAGTCCACCCAGAACAAACATGTTCGTGACGGAGTGTTCCTTCAGCACTCCACAGAGAAAGGGTTTTGTGAAAGGTTCTATATTATGTCATATAGTAGTTCCAATGTTTCATTAAGAAGCACAGCCGCTGATATATCCGGTGAAAGTTATTGCGCCAACCAATTATCATTCAAAATACAATCAGAGTTAAACGAAGCATTTAGACTAAATTGTGCCGGACGAGCGAGATTTACTAACGCCGTTCAGTTTATAGATACCGACAAAGCCGTAAGTCTTAATAATGGTTCATTTTTCAATGTTCATAATAATGGTTCAATACGAAGATATACACCCGATGCTATCTACCATTGTTTGGTCAATAGTTATCCAGAATGGATATGGACGGCAATTACCAAAGCAAGATATTTAAACAAAGTCATGTTTTAATATATATAAAAGATAGTGATGATGTATTTAATCAAGAATATATTTTAAGTTATGTTGAAAGAAAAGTATTAAATTACAAACAGATAGGGAAACCGCAAAACAAAATATACCTAAAGAAGGTTATGTAAATACTCAATGGTTTTTAGACAATATAAAAAAATGTAATTACTATGGGTGCGATTTTGCTATTGATATGAAAAATAGTAATATCACAACAAACCTAACAGCACAACGCAAGGATAATGAATACACGCATACATTAGATAATATCATACCATTTTGTAAGCAGTGCAATTGTAGTAGTAAATAATGAATGGGTAGACTATATTATATATTCTATCTATCTAACCTTGCCCGTCTTTCCGCCGTAGATATTCCCCCAAGACTTCCGGCTGAATTTGGATACTACGAGGAGGCCTTTAGCATCACCGCAAAACCATTACAGCATTGATTTCTGCTGTTTACATTCCTTTCTTGGAATTCTTGGGTCCGGAAAGGAGAGACCTCATTTGCCGAAGAACGCAGAATAGGCCAGACCGTAACTTGGGTCCCTACAGTAAAGTGCTGTGTTTTCTGGAGATTCTTTTTGATGGGGCACGGCCAGGTGCGACTGTCGCAATCGCACCTGGTCGAGCTGGGTCAATTTTGCCACGCAGCCACCCAGCCACTCAGCCAGTGGGAAGCAACCCAGCCGCTCAGAAGCCACTCAACCACCAGAAAGCCACTCAACCACCAGGAAGTCACTCAGCCAAGTAGAGCCAGCCACTTAGCCTCCACCGGGAAGCCACTTAGCCACTTAGCTACTTAGCCTCTTAGCTTCTCAGCCACTTAGCCACTCAGCCACTCAACCAACTCAACCACCAGGAAGCCACTCAACCACCAGGAAGCCACTCAGCCACTTAGAGCCAGCCACTTAACCTCCACAGTTAGAACAGATTTTGCCAGTCTTTCAACCGTATACTAAATCACCGTTGTGTGTGTGTAATAGTTGGCATTGTCAGCATCAACTCCAGTTCTTGGTGCGCGATGCAATGTAATGAAACAACCATTTAATTTAGAAGCAAATTTAACAATGTTCATATTAATTTTGTTTCCTGCTGCGTTGAATGATTGTGTCATAGTGTGATACATTGGAAATATGAATTTCAAACTTTGACCTTCTAACAAATGTTTTTCACTATACTATTATTGACCGTGTTGTCCACTTATAGTACATGTATAATTAGGTTATTTTAATTCCCACCTGGGTGCTGGTGTCTCCAGTTGTGAAACAAAAACCAGACGCATCATTTTGAGTGGTTGCATCAGTCACACAAAAAGGCGTAACTACTGGTGAATGTTCATCTGATACAATTGTAAATTCCAGTTCAAGTGGTTGCATAACGAAGAGGCAAGTAATACTTGCTTTCTGACAGTCTGCATACTGGTTTATGTCCTAATCTCATATAACCACTAGCGCCGGGAATTCCTGCAACTGAATGGCGGGTAAATTGTGCT